CCTGTGCCATGGAAGGTTTTAAAGGTATCCACCAACATCTTGAATTGCATCCAGAAGCATACCGGTGCAGTTTATGGAGCAGAGGCAACACATGTGGCAACCAAAACTTTCGTCACTGTTATCTTTCACTAGCTGAGCTTTAAAATACTCCTTAAGGACCGCCCCAAGTAAAGTGTGCTGTATCAATCCAATCAGGAGATGATTAAGGCATGCAGCCTTGCCATTTAAATTGCTGTGTGAGCCTACGAAAAGCTGTAACTCTTCTAAAATGTTGCAGACAGATGCCACATTCAGATTCCCACATACTCAAGAGCATTTTGGAGATTGCATCCTAAACACTACACAGCCCTAATATCTGGATCTAAGATATTTTATCCAACTAAAATTCCTTAAATTAAATTACAACCTATCTTTCTTTTGGAAAGAAAAATTTAATATTCCTCACAGATAAAGGAAAAGTCTGTTCTATTCCATTGGCCTGCTGTCATTGTTTTCCTCTCCTTTTTTCTTCCAGTTGCAAGATTTGTGGGCTTGCTGAGGAGCCTTTAATATTGTCCTGATAAAAGCAGTGGTTATTTAGCTGATCAGGTTTGAGAACTAACAGCTGGTCAAGGCCAAGAAGAGGGATATGTAAAAAAAAAAATCATTGTTTGAGACCTTTAAGATAAACCTACTTCTAGTAGATGTGCATAATTTTATTACAGAATTGAACAATTATTTAAAATGGCAAAATTCATATATCATTTTGGAAATGGGATTAGGATTAAAATCACAAATGAGCCATGGTGACCCAGTGGTTAGAGTGCAGTATTGCAGGCTAACTCTGCCAATTGCCAACAGTTCAGTCCTGACCAGCTCATGGTTGACTCAGCCCCCCATCCTTCCGAGGTCGGTAAAATGAGGACCTGGACTGTTGGGGGCAATATGCTGACTCTGTAAACGGTTTAGAGAGGACTATAAAGCACTGTAAAGTAGTATAAAAGTCCAAGTGCTATTGCTATTCAGATTTTCTTTAACTCCATATAAAGCCAAATTCCATAAGTGTTTGTAATCAATCACTAGCTCCCAACTATTCATTTACAGTGAAGTTGTGCTTATGCAATAGTGTTATAAAAGATTTATATGATGATATCTTTGTTTTTCACACACATTTTTTCAATTGGAATTTTATATATAGCATATTGATTTGTATGCTGTCTTTCAACATACAGTTTATCAAATGCTAAAAGAGAGAGGGCTATGGTTTTAAAAAAAACCCAGTAGAAACCATTGGTTAACACTGTTTTTGAGAAATAAAAAGGTCAGGAAAATATCTGCTTTAATGTTGCAGACAGTTATACTAAGGAAACCACTCAAGATAGGAAGTGTCACAATTTACGATCAGAGAGAGAAAGCTTTCCAGTTGCCACACATTTTGTGAAATGACAAGTGTAATTTTCAGAGACTTTGTATATCAAAAATATAAAAGTACTGATGAAACAGGAGGCTTTAATATTTCTTTCTGCAGCATAAACTCAAAGGGACGTCTGGGAAATAATTTACCAACTGCATAACAGTTACATGCCCCATTTTCTTAGGCAATCCTGGAGTGGCCAACAATGTTTTCTTCTAGGACCCCTGTATTTCTAAATTGTTAACAGTGTATGGATATATAATGTCCTAGGCATTTCAGCTTTACAAATCTGTTGCTTTTCACAAAATAATGAGCAGAATAGTGCTTCTGTTAAGATCATTACCATTTTTTCTTGTAGTGCTTAGCGGCATGCATGCAAAGAGCAATAATTTTTAAATCTAGGTAAAAATGCAATGAAATGAACCAAAAATATTGAGTACAGAGTCATTTCATAAAAGAAAAAGATGTTTTTTTTGGGGGAAAGCATTATATTCTTGCCCATTTTTGCTCAATTAATGTTTAAATACCACAAAAAGAAACCTAAACTAGCTTTCAATGAGCATTGCACACTTTGAGTGTTATTTTACATTTAAAATTCTAAATGCATGTTCCAATTAGTTAGATTCCATTGAGTTGGCTTTGATTCCTGGTAACAGCATAAATGCCTAGCATTGTGATCTGTTTTTAGTAATAATTTGTATCGCTTTCAGGAACATTCCAGCAATTTATTTTCTTGTGCCCATCTACCTTATTCTTTTTTGGTCCATCATCTGTATTTATCACATCTTCAATATCTTCTATCACATGTCCTCAATCTCTGCTTGCTGATTATCACCTCAAGGAAACCAGCAATTGGGTTTTATTTGGTTCAGGCTGAGTGATTGGTTCTTCTGCAATCTTTGGGACCCTGCATAATCATCTCCAAATCAAAAATTCAAAAATGACCATCTTCTTTATTTTTGTCTTCATTAATCGTAAGTTCAGTAAGCATGTAAATTACCATTACCTTTGTTTTCTTAGTATTTATCATTCAACTTTATTTTTTGCTGTTTTTTACTTTCTTTTTGTCTAAGAAATGGTGCGGTCTACTTATCTCAAATCATTAGAAGCTTGACCACCAATTTGCATCCTGACTATGATTTCTTCCAATCTCTCCTTTCTTGTAATAGATTTGCTGTGTATGCTGAACAGAACTGGGGACTATATGCACTTTTGTCTCACTTCCTTTTGTATTCTGAATCCATCAGTTTCTCCAATTTTAATCCTTATAATAAATTGTTCTTTTGAAGAATCTTTTGCATTAAAAACAATCAGATATTTTCGTACTATTATTAGGCACACTGAGTTCCATATTCTAGGACACTCTACAAGTGCTATTGCTATGGACAGATTAATAGTGTTTTAAAAAGTGGTACTTTTCTGCTTTGTTTCCTTTTCTGGTCTGCCAGAGGTCATCCATAAAAGTCACTTCAGTTTAAGCTGTGGTCAAAGAGCTTAACATTAGCAGAAAATAAACTGCCATTCTTCCCAGTCTGTGGTGATTGAGGTACATTCAAGTGAACCTGTAGAAAGCAAGATGAATTGATCATCTATTAGTCATTATGGATTGATGCTATACATGCCCATATCCATGGATGACCTCTGTGACAGAGCAAATGTCTGATTTTTGTCCTCCCTGATCATCTAGTAGCTTTCAATGGTCTAACTTGGGCCTGAATCCAGACTGGAAAAGGAGCCACATAATCCATCGCCACAAAAAAAAGAACTTCCAATCAGCTATCTGTGGAGGCAATAGGAATAAGCACATTTCACCTCACATCCCCACAAGATAATCCCTAATAAAGGCTCATCCCTGTGGCACCTTTCCTGAGAGTGGCCCACTCCCTGTCTACCATTATATCTCCTTATTTTAATCTGATTTTGATTTTTTTCTGGCTGAATGACAGATGGAGAGAACTTTAACTAATCAATGCAGCAAAGCCCTAAGAGTTCTTACTTATTTTTCTCTAATTAAATAGCATGTTGTTATGGTATAAAGTCTGGTCAAGATAGCCCAATTTTAAAAATTCTAATTAGCATTAGAATAAGAAACCTTAGGAGTTATCAGAGGATATATGCTAGCTACGTAGTAACATAGAGGGATGTTAATAGAAATTATTGTTTTATAAATGCAGAGCTGGCTTAATCTATCTTCCCTAACTAGCAAAGAGAAGAGTTGCTATCAATGAATGGAGAATTAAGTTGATCTGCTTGGAACTAATGACAAATAGCAAAAGTCCAACTAAATTGTAAAAAAAAAAAATTCCTATGACATTAAAAATCGTATAAGGAACAAGAAGTGTTAATAATGTTAATGCTGTAATGTCAATCTATATGTGTATGTATGAAAGCACATATGTGTGGGGAGTTTCCTCTGAATCAAGCTTGGTGACCTCATGGACAACTCACTGTAATTTCCTGGGAAAACACATATTTAACTTCTATATTGTTTTTAGTGTATTTAAGAAATGTTTTTCAATTTTGCAATCTGGCCCAACTCACTGGTTCTCCACGGTGGACTTTATCCAAGTATTAATCAGATCTAGCTCTGCTTATTTTATTTATTTTTTATCTACCAGCACAAGGTCAGTTCTCCCAGCACTTACCAGGAGATAAAAGTTCATTTAAATTGAGGGTAACCAAATCTACATTTCTACATTGCAAGTTGCTCTTAACCTTAAAGTGACATGCTAGGGTTTCATTGTTTAGATTTTATTTATGATACTAAATATTTAATATAATTATGTATTTAATAATTTTTCTCCTCGGTCAAAACCTAGATCTCAGTTCTCACAGATCCCTCAAAATCTTAGTGTTGTTTTCAGGAACCTCAAAAGTTATTGATCAATTGTAATCCTAATGGGGCAGATAAGAAAAATGATTAAATCTTTCTCTCTCCAAGAGAGATAGATACAGCTTTTGAAAATACATATAAATTGTTTTACAGATGGTTCACATTAATGCCCATCTGCAGCTTGCTAAAAGCAAACTTAACACTTTTTAAAAAAAGAATTCCTAGTAGAATACCGTTTTCACAGTGCTATGGCTTTAAAAGTTGAAAAGAGCCTTGGTGGCGCAGCAGACTAAAGTGCTGTTAAGTAGCACCAGCTGCCTGCAATGACTGCAAGTTCAAATCTCACCAGGTTCAAGGTTGACTCAGCCTTCCATCCTTTTGAGGTAGGTAAAATGAGGACCCGGATTGTGGGGGCAATAAGCTGACTTTGTATAAAAAGAACACCACTTGGGGGGCCCGAAAGCCCTATTAAGCAGGTATATACAAAAGTATGAAGACTATTGCTTAACGCATTGTAAGCCGCCCTGAGTCTCCGGAGAAGGGCGGCATATAAATCGAACCAATAAATAAATAAATAAATAAATAAATAAATAAATAAATAAATAAATAAATAAATAAAGAATATTTAAATATTAGATAAAATAATTGAATTTAAACTGGAAAGTTCAGTTTTAGTATATGAAAAGTATGGGTGTGTATCTGTATATATTTGCTTCTGTATGTACACATGCACATTTGCATATACTTTTTGAAAAGTTTAAAATAAGCACTTACCACGTTTGCTTAGAAAAGTTGTTTTTTTATAAAAGAGAAGGCAATTCATGGAGACGAAACATTACTTTAGATCAGGGCCCCCAACTTTTGGTTGTTGTGGAGCTGTCGGCCACCGGCCTCTCCAGCAGCCGAATCCGATGAGGAGGCGGAGTGGGAGTCAGGGCCAGCATCAAGGCAATCGGAGAGCTCTGAGGGGGAAGATGGAATGGAACTGTCAGAGATAGAGACAGAGGCGGAGCCTGGGCTATCCATCAGCCCAGTCTGGAGGTGGCTGATGAGGAAGAGGAGGAACAGCTGGGTCTCATGCCTGATGCATGGATGCGCAGAAGGCAGAGGAGAGGAGAGCAGCGGGAAGCTATGGGACGGAAGAGCCACTCAGGCTATCTAAGCCCCATCCTAGCTCTGGGGATAAAAGGTAGGGGGCAGAGACGAATAGGTGTGACAGACAACTATTTGTCTCCCTATCGGTCAGCCACTGAAAGTCTGAATTTCTGAATCCTGTCGGGAACTGTGTCGGAATCCTTTCTTGGAATCTGCGGTGCTGAGAGCTGGGCGCACCTTCGGAGCATGTTTGTGTGTGTGTGTATCTCCCCACTGCTGAGAAAAGAGCAAGCACACCTTCCAGGACTTGTGTTATGAGTGTGGTGAGAGAGAGAGACTCCTGATGTGTTGGAGCCATTGCAGGGGGAAAGGGAGCGAGATTCGCTTTCCACAGGTACTTAAGAGATTTCCTTAGCCTGTTGTGAGAGAGAGGGGGGTTGCTGGCACTTCCAATGAAGGGAACGTTTAGTTAAAAACAGCGTGCTTGTCATGTTTGGGAGCCCAGTAAGAACACCGGTCTGTGGACCGGCACTGGGCTACGGCATGCCAGAAACCAGCCCGTGCAAACAAGCAAAGCTCCATCCGCAGGATGCAGGCAGCACTCAAAACCATACCGCCTCCCATCCGCGGAAAAACCTCTCTCCACGAAACCGGTCCATGGTGCTCAAAAGGTTGGGGACCACTGGTTTAACTTGTGAACAATTAATAATCTTTCCACTTTGCTGTGCTTCTTTGTCAGATAATGGAAATACAAATCACTTAGTATTTCAATGAGTTTGCTTTTTTAATAAGTTCTGACAAATGTTTTAAATACTTACAGATCTTTAATTCTTATGAGTGCTAAGAGAGATTCTTTGAACATAGGCTTTTCCATGTTTTACATCTCAACAGGTGGCAGCATCTAGCCAACTTTACCCACACTTGGAAAGTTAGTAATGTCAGGCTGGTTAGGATGGGAAACCAACAGGAAATATTAGGTTAGGTTGGGAAGCTATATTTGCCTTGTATCTGAGAAACATTATCTGGATGTTTCCCTATAATTAACAGGAGTTGAACTCAAGGGCATCTTTACCTTTGCTTAGAAACTGATATCACATGTTGATGTAATCATTAGGAGTTGAACTCAGTTCAAAGGTGTCTTTATCTTTACTGTGGAGGTTTTAGGCATTTATTTAGGCAACATTTCCTTTTAAATATTTTCAGTGAAGGGTTAAAAATAATAAAACCTACCTTATCAGAAACAAGTTGTTGGAAAGAGGCGATTTTCTGTATTCTGTTGGTACTAGCAGAAAAATTGGAATTACTATTTTTCATCTCACATACATTTAAATACAGGTAGTCCTCGACTTACGTTCACAATTGAGCCCAATTTTTTTGTTGTTAAGTGAGCTATTTAAGTGAGTTTTCCCCCATTTCATGCTGCAGTTGTTAAGTGAATTACTGCAGTTGATAAGTTAGTAACCCAGTTGTTAAGTGAATCTGGCTTCCCATTGACTTGGCTTGTCAAAAGGTTGCAAAAGTTGATCACATGACCTTGGGACACAGCAATGGTTGTAAGTATGAACCAGTTGCCAAGTATCTGAATTTTGATCACATGATCATGGAGATGCTACAAAGGGAGTAACCGTGAAAATGATCATAAATTACTATTTTCAGTGCCATTGTAACTTTGAATGGTCACTAAATGAACTGTTGTAAATTGAGGACTACCTGTAATAATGAAAGTGGTACTCTCTGAGCTTGGCTATTTGCTTGCAGTTATTTCATTAGACATCGCCACACTGATGATATTATCTAGACTGGTAACTATGAAATGTCTGCAAGCAAACAACCAAGGTCAGAGAGCACCCAGGACTCCCGAGTTCAACCCTGAGCTACATATATTCTCTTCTATTGATAAATTATTTGCACATTTTTTAGCACACAGTATACATAGCCAGGATAGTCTACAATGCTTTTTACCACAGAGTAGTTCTGGCAGCCTAAGATGGCTAGTTCATTTTGTTCACGCATATGCGTGCTATTCATAATATACCAGAGGGGGCGAACTAGCTTGGCACCAGCTGGCCAGCAGCATTCGGGGAGGGTGGGGGTGTCAGGTCAGCTGAGCTTTCTTCCACTGACCTCGCCATGCATCTGTGCAAGTCCGGCGTCAGCTCCCACTTCTGTACGGAACGCTGCTAGCTTTTCCCAGTGGAATGGAACCTATTTATCTACTTGCAGTTTATATGCTTGCTTTCCAACTGCTAGGTGGGCAGAAACTAAGCGCAAATGATGGGATCTTATTCTGCCACCCGGTGCCTTGGGCTCGAATTGTCGGAGTGCCAAGTATCTCTGGCCAACAATTCCTTGACCCCTAAATTATTTGCACTAGATGTAGCTTAGAAAATCCAATTTGTAACAACTGCTTCCTAAAGAAGTTACCAATTTCAAGAGACTAGTTTATGAAATGAATTTTAGATGTTGCTTTTCTCAGATCTCTTCAGTGCTAAAATAAATTCTAAATGTGCAAAATTTTGTTTTAGGGGAAATATTCTGCCCTTTTAATATTTCCTAAAATATTTCATTTTTCTAGGAGAGGAAAAATGAAATATTTCATTTTTCTAGATTTCAACTTCCTACAGTAGAATACCGACTTCTTTGGGAAACCTGATGTTTAGCTCTTCCAGGAAATGTTGTCAAACGTGATAAATATTGAATGTTGTTGTTTTGACTCAAGACAATAGCTGTGTATGGGCTGTAACATAACTGTAAGTAAACAAAAACAAATCCTACAAAATGAGGGGGGGAGCTTTGCAACAGTAAATAAAGAGTGAGGACAGAAAAAAAGACGGGCCCAAGAACTGCACAGATTAGACCCTTCTAATCTATCTGCCCATCAAAAAAAGCAAAAACCCAGCCCTTTGAACCTGGGAAAGGAAGTGGGAGCAAGCACTTTTTAAAGAACAAGGGACTCGGATCAAACGAAGCCTCATTCATGCTTTCTTACTCCTAACCTAGAATTTCAGGTCTTCCAAGGGTGCACCCATCACCGTTGTAACTGAGTCCATCCACCTTGCTGCTAGTCGTCCCCTTCTCTTTCCTTCTATTTACCCCAGCATTAGCTTGCAGCTGCCTCCTTTGTGCTGGAGTTGCGAGGAGTTACAGATTGCAGCGAATTGCTGCTGTGCGGGGGGGGCGCTTCCCGCCAGTCGGCGCGGCGTGGCTGCCCCGGATTAGGGACTCCCTCCCCACGACCTTTGCTTCCCCCCCCCTCCCCGTAATCTGCATAGAGGAATGACAGGCATTTGGTTGAACAGGAACAGTTTGAGTTGGGCTGCGGCAGCAGCAAGCAGGAGGAGGAGGAGGAGGAGGATTTACAACTAGCTCGGCAAGAGGAGGCAGAAGTTGCACGGAGGAGGCTGCTAAGATTAAGAGCTGGGAGAAGCTGCAATGAGTTCTCCGAAGTTTCTGTGCGAGAGGAAGCCTGATCAGAGGACCAAGAGAGCCGCCTGATTGCTGGATCCCGGCCCTCCTCCAGGACGCGAGATGGGCCAGACGTCAATCTCCACTCTTTCGGCAGAGGCCAGTGGTAAGTGGAGCTGGAAATCTGGAAGAGAAGGCGATCTTTTTGGCGGATTCTCCCTTCCCCCAAGCGGGAGCTAGAGCGTGCGAGCGCTTTTGTGGCTAGAAGAGAATCCGGCGTTTATGGAAACAACATGGTCGAGGTGCCAACCTCTAATAGGCAGACCACCCTCATTATACGCTGGGTTCTTCCAAAAGAAGAGCAGGCTGCCTCTTGCGATCTCGACAAAAGTTTCTCTTAAAGGAACAGCCCTTTCTTTCCACGAAGTTCTCCTCGAAAATAGTGGCTTTTGATTTTTGTGTTCTCCTCTCCCCGAAGTTTATATGCGACTTAATTCTTAGAGAAAGGCCCTCTTTCTTGTATTTTTCGAATCGGAACTGCGAGGTGCAAAAAACAAAACAAAAACCCAAAATATTTTTATTACCGAGATTTGTAGCACGTAAATCCGTACAGTCCACGCCCAACTTCTCCTTTTACACATTCTTATTTTGTTACTACGAAGTGTGGTTTCCTATCATGTATTTGTATTGTTTGTGTAAGTTTAGTTAGCTCTAATCCTCTTGTACACATTCGTCTTTCACTTTTGAACCACGTAAATATTTAGGTGTACTTTAAGTGTTCAACTGTTGTTTTCTTCCTAATGTGTTTTATAAAAACAAATGGATCGTTGATGAGATAGATAACATACCACAGGGGCAATACATAAAATATTTTAATATAACACTTTTTGGATCTTCTGAAATGAAAATTGTAAAAGCTAAAGAACTACGTAGAATCTTTATGTAAGATATATGTTAAGAGTTCCTTAAATACTACATAAAACATGTAACCATTTTTGGAACATTTTACCCAATAGTATGATTCCAATTGCTGATTAATATGGTATATTTTGAAATCTCAGCTTAAAGACATATGTTCCATCAGACAATGTAAATGCCTGTTCTGTTCAGAAAAGTGTCCATAGTGTAAATGAATCTATGAAAGTGTATAAAACACAATTCACATTATACAGAACATTGTTTAGGTAAAAGCATGTAGTTGTTTTGCTGTGGGATATTAATTCATGTCTTCATTTTTTGTAGAATAGAGATGCAGTGACACTCCTAGTAATTATGAGTCAGAGCAGTTGAATACTTTACAATTAGGGGCTGTTTTTTTTCTTCAAAAGACACACAAAATGTGAACATTAGTACGTCTTTGTTATATTCATAGAATAAGGGTTTAGCAGCTTAGGGTATTAGGGCTTTACAGTTGTTTCACAAATTATTCCTCTGTTGAGGTATTTCAGATATTTAACAGATGCAGTAGAATAGGAAGTATAACTCATTCCTTCCTGTTCTTTTTCAACATCACTGGTTCAGCAAGGTGTTAAGATCAACTAGTGTAAATCTTAATTGTTCTCCTTAGAGCAGTAAATTTCTTGAGCTGCATAGCAAATCTTTGACAAAAATACCCACCTGGAAAGCTTTAGGGAACAAGTAGCTGCCATTTATAAGAATTGCCCAATGGCAGTTGAAAACTTCAAAAGGAACATCTGTCTGTTATGTACTTAGGTGCTAAGAAAGCATAAAACAAACATGTTTTCTGTTAGTGGTGATATTGTGGTATGGTGTTTTTGTATAACACATGGAATTTGTTAAACTTCCATTTGCTTGATGGCCAGTTTCACCTCAAAATCAGCCTTCTGCAGCCTTCCTGGAATTGTGTAAACCAGTAATCTAGTTTTATCCATGTTATTAAAGATTTGTAGGATATGCAAGTAATGCAGAATAACAAAGATAACAAAGTTGGAGGTCTTCTAGTTCAACTCCCCTGCTCAAGCAGGAAACTCTACCGTTGGACAAAAGGACTGTCCAATTTTTTCTTTAAAAATCTTCAGTGGTGGAGCACCCACAATTTCTGAATGCAAACTGTTCCACTGACTAATTGTTCTCACTCTCAGGAAATTTCTCCTTAGTTCTAGGTTAGATCTCTTCTTGATAGGTTTCCATCCATTACTTCTTGTTTACCCTCAGATACTTTGGAGAATAGATTAACCCACCCTTTTCTGTGATAGTCCCTCATTTGCCCACTGAGCTCAGGACAGCCCCCGACCTCCTTTCCTTCTCTTTCGTCAACTTAACTGATCCGATATGGGTGTACATTGTTATAATTTTAAATTGTTTTAATTGGCTTGTTGATTTTAATTTTATTGTGATTTGTATTGGATATTGTTTTTGTAAGCCGCCCTGAGTCCCTCGGGAGAAGGCGGCATATAAATCGCAATAATAAATAAATAAATTTTAAGAATTTAAAGAATTTAAACATGTTAAAAATGCTTTCAAGAAATAATATTAAGACACAAAACTCAAGGTAGATCTTGAATTAACTCGTTTTCTTTTAAAGTAAATTTTTGGATATGTGAACTCCTGGGTTTGCTTTCTCCAGTCTGGATGAAGTGTTACTTGGCCATTCTGGCAGCAGTAGGTATTGTATAATGGCTAATGTGTTGTAGGATCCTGGTTCAATTCCACCCTCAGTTACAGAAGCTTATAGGATGATGTTCAACCAGTCACTGTCTGTCAGCTCAGCTTACTTCACAAAGCTGTTAATGTGGGGAATATGGAAGAAAGGGTAACCATTTACCTACCTTGATCTTCTGGACAAAAAGGGCAGAATATATGCTAACAAACACATTTACAACAAACCAGGATCTGTTAGTTGTTCGTGTATAATGCTTTGTTGGAAGAAATGTCCATCTGGGTTCAGTTCCAAGTGGGAAGAAAAACACTGGAAACATGGAGACTACTTGAAAAGATAGTTTAATGGTGGATAGGACCATCATTGGGGTTTTTGGGTCCTGGGCAGAAAAGAGTACGTGGAGTGGAGAGGGGGATATATTTATATACTTTCTTGGGCCCTGCCTTAGAGTTTCCTGTTCCTGTACAAGAAATGTATTCCATTAGCTGTCAGACTCCCAGGGGGCGGGGTCTTAGCTAACTTTGTAGGCTGTCTGTGTCGCAGGCCTGGTTGAATCTTGCTGGGTGATGATGTAATGAAGGGGCTTTGGGCAATTTCTATTATGGCTTAATGGCTTTGTCCTGGTTTGGATCTTGAATGAGGGCTAATCCTATCATGCCCTGAGGGCTATGTCTTTTGAGTTGTAGATAAATTGGCTCAGCCTTTTGTCTTGTAAATAATCAAAGTATCTGCTGGGGGCAGGGAGCTGGGGCTGAGTTTGTCTTAAAATTTCTATTTCTCTTTTAGGGAAGTATTCTGCCTTTTAATATTTCCTAGAATATTTCATTTTTCTAGGAGAGGGGTAGATGCTAACGTCTTACAGCTTGATGGGATGATGCTCCAAAACCTAAGTTTAATGTGATAGTCCATTTAGTCAAACATTATTAATACTTCTGAGAATTTCTAGAGTCAAAATGGCTGAAGAAAACCTTTATTTGTTACTTAGAGATCTGTGCTTAGTATGCATTATTAAACCTATAAAGAAAGCATTCAGATATTTGAAAACAGCCAAGCAGTTTCTGCTGTATGAAGAGATCCACAATTTGCTTAGTGTCTGTTCTTTTTCTATAGATGTCAGTAATTGTAGCATAATCCTTTTATAAAAATAATCTCTGTGTTTGGATGGAGAGTCACAAGAGTAATCATTCATACAGGTTTAGAACTGTTTTACTAACAAAATTTATTAGAGGTTATATATTCAGCAGCACACTTCAAAAAAATTATGATTGATTAGGAGCTACTTTAAAGAACATATTTTTAAAAAGTGAATTTAAGTTTCACCAAGGCAACAATATACAGTAAGTTATTGGGTTCCTACAATTTACTGTTTTAGTTGTTTATTTCTCTGCATGATTGCTTTTCCATTGATCACTGGATAGTTTGCATGCTTTTAGGATGCTTTCCTCTGTCTATGTTTGTACTTTCTTTGCAAATATCAGAGTAGAGTTGTGTAGAGTATTCTGCTGTTCTGAAGCAAAGCAGATGGCCGTATTCAAAAATAAGGTGTTTTTTGGCATTGACTGCTGGGCTCTAAAATTGTATTTTCAGAGAAACAGCCTTGTTTGTATTTGTTTCTTGAAAAGGCTGTTTAAGAGAGTTTTCAAATTAGCTGATTGACGTGTATGGTTTTTAAATAATGGGGATTAGATAATAAAATGTGAATGCTTTATAATCATAAATTTCCATGGATTGATTATGAGGTTTGATTGTAAAGTTAAAGTTTAGAAGTTGGAAGGGGTACTCTGTATTAATATAGAAAGACACATGATAATAATGCCACATTACATCTGACATATTTTGTATTCTTGAAGTGTGATACAACAGAATATTAATGGACAGTTGAGTCTTCCATCCATCGTCTCTAAAGTCTAACAATTTTGACTGCTATTCCTATTAGCCGCTGGTGACTGATTGGAGAAGAACCAGAGCTTTCATTGAAAAATTCCATATCTATTAAGTAAGTGCCCTTCCTATATATTTCATGGATTCTTTGGGTTGTTGAAAGCAAACCAGAGCTTTCCCCTTAAAGCTAACATTTGATAGTATATCTGGATATTCCAGTGCTATTTATCAGTAAAAAAAGGAGTTGATCTTTAA